GTCGGGAGCAATACCAGGGGAGGGTATCGAGCACATAGCGCTCGCAGCCCAATGTTTCCAGCGCCTCCGTCATGGGCACAAGAAACCCTGGGCACTTGTATTCTACGACATCCAGGCCGCTTTCTACAGCGTCATCAGAGAGCTCGTTGTACCTGGCCCGCGAGGGGACCGTGACCTGTTATGTCTCCTGCACAAGCTCGATTTGCCTGAAGGAGCGATACAGGAGTTACGTAGCAAACTCGAAGGTCTTGCACTGCTCCCCGATCTAGGGGCCTCCGAGCACCTCACCAGCCTGGTCCAGGACCTGTACAGAGGAACTTGGTTCCGTCTGACTCACAGTTCCGTCTTAACACTTACTCATCGTGGCACGAGACCCGGCGATCCGGCTGCGGACGCCGTGTTTGGGTTAGTCATGTCAGCCCTGCTGCAGAGCATTGCCAGAACCCTTGCTCAGGCAGGCCTCCTTCCGGAGCCGATTCAACCCGATGACCCACCTTCTTGGGCAAGTGTTTCTGAGTCCGCATGCTGGGGATGTCCTGCGTGGGCTGATGACTTTGTGCAACCGATCGGAGCTGCGGATGATCCTGCTCTCCTACGCAATGTTTGGGAAGCTGTCGGCCTCGTTGCTGGGCGGGTGACGGCTCTAGGAATGAATCTGACCTACGCCCCCGACAAGACAGCTGTTATCTTACCAGCGTGGGTTCAGCCCGATCTGCCCCCCATCCAACGGGACCAGGATGGTCAGTGCTACCTCGCCATCACTGATGTCACCACACACGAGGTGCATTCCCTGCCGGTTGTGCCGTCTTATAAGCACCTCGGAGGCATCGTCACCGCGGACGCTACGCCCGGACCCGATTTACGGTTCCGTTTCGCCCGTGCTCTTGCGGTGGTGAGGCCGCTCCGGGCGCGCTTGTTTGCGGACCGGGCCACACCCATCAAAACTAGGAGGGCACTGCTTCGCTCTCTTGCGATCTCCAAATTCGCCCATACAGGCGCAGCACTGAACCTCCGGGCAGCGCTGCATCGCCGCCTTTGGGCCCAGCAGTATGTCAGCTTATGGAGGAGCCTGTTTGCCAGAGCAGGTCCCGACAATCATGTTCACGCCTACGAAGTCCTACTGCTTGCCCAGGCAGCTTCACCACCACTTGCCCTGGCACGAGCCCGAGCATCATTTCTTGGGCGTCTTGTTGGGTCCGGCGCAACTCCATTAGGCGCCCTGCTCTACGCACACTGGCAACGATCACCCACCACCGCGTGGCTTGCACAACTCGAACTAGATTTCCAGGTTGTTGCCACGTTTGTACCTGCGATCAAGGATCTTGTGTCACCGTCTGCCCCGGTTGCAGGTATACTGGACTCTATGGATCATGACCCCCGGTGGTGGTTGCGGCAGACCATTGCTGCTGCTAGGCAGTTTCAACGTGACCTGCTAAGATGGCGTGCCGCCGGAGCAGTCACACCGACGTGTGTGCCAACCGCAGAGCCAAAGCCCTTTGCATGTCCCATATGCAAGGCAGCCTTCCGCCTGCGTAAACATCTCGGTGTGCATCTTGCTCGCACCCACCGCATTATCAGTCCGGCACGACACTTTGCACCAGTCACACATTGCATCGCGTGTATGCGGTTTTATGGCGCCGTACCGCGAGTGCAAATGCACCTCAAGCAGACACCCAGATGCTTGATCCGAGCCTCTAGGCTTATTCCGCCCATGACTATGGATGAGGTGCGAGCAGCCGAGAGCGAGGCCAAGATGGCCGCCCTCAAGCTCAAAAAAGGTGCATGGAAAACCTATGCCCCTCCTTGTGCGGTCGTATCGCTTCTTGGCCCACCCTTGGCCACACGGGCGGAGCGCTCCGCCGGCGCTGACTCTGATGAGGAAGACACGCCACTCGACCAGCTTCGCGCAGTATATGCACCCACACCTGCCGTAGAACAGTGGATTGCAGATTATCTGAGCGAAGCCTCCAAGGAGGGGCCACGCACCACAGCCGCATCATTTTGGTGCGAGCGTCCGTTTCACACCAATGCATGATTTTTGGGACGCGCGAGCGCTCTGCGTTCGCCCGACGGTCCGCGAGTGAGTGAGTGAGTATACTATTTTGGGGGTTCCTTGTCATGATTATGGTATAATGGGCCCCAGAACCCTGTTCTATTAGAGTATAACGCTTGTACGTCTGTAGCTGGATTTCAGAAGCTGTTCACCGGTTGTCTTAAAGCTTATTAATGCTTGTTTCAGGGTTGGTCTGGATGCTGCAGGATTGCTTTACTTGAGCGTTTTTTCAAGCTCACAGTCGGCACCGTTCTCACGGCAAGCTCCGATGTAACAAGGGCACCGTATAGATCTTGTAGAGAAAAGCGCAGCAGCCTAAACCCTCAACCCTACCGGTCGCCGAATAGACCTACGATTTTAGGGTCCCCTACAGGCCCTCAGCTCTGCTTCTGACCTGGCGAACTTATAAAGTTCGAAAAAACTCTCTCGGAAGAACCCTCTTCTGCACCCTTCTGAACTCCTCACCATCGGGCCCTCTACAAAGGAACCTAGGTGAGCCCAGATGAGACCCCAAACCCTAAACCCTGAACCCTAAATCCCAAAACCCTACATCCCAACAACCCACAAACCCAAAACCCTAAACCCTAAACCCCAAAACCCAAAAACCCAAAAACCCTAAACCCCAAAACCCTAAACTCAATCGGTGGGAGACTCCGCCGCCGCGACACCTCCCGAAGTTCCTCTTGCTGCCGCTTCAAGCGGAGGGATGCGAGGAGCTCCTTTTGGGCGTTGAGGGGTTTTAGGGTTTAGGGGTTTTTGTGGGGTTTAGGGCTGTTAGGCTTTAGGGTTTTTGAGGTTTTCAGGATTATTAAGGTTTAGGGTTTTTAGGGTTTCGGGCCATAGCTGTCGGGTTTTGGGGCTTCTTTATAGTCTAGCAATAATGAGGAACCCTAAGGAGGAATGTTAGTAACCATTTGGGCTTCTATGGTAGGGCTTGCAGGGCTTCAGGGTGTAGGCTTGAGGGCTTAGGGCTTAGGGTTTCTGGCCCAGGGCTTTGGGGTGTCGAGCTTCAGGGTTTTGGGCCTAGGTTTCTAGGATTGGGGGCTTGAGGGTTAGGGTTTAGGGGTGTGGGGGGTGTAAAGTTTGAAGGTCTGAGATGCTCTGAGGTTGGGGTTTAGACGGTTTAGAGTTTATGATTGGTGGTTTAGGTTGAGGGTTTAGGGTTTCGCGTGCTCACTTCGGGCCTTGTTACAGGGCTTCAGCCGGGCATTAGTGAAGTCTTAAAAGGAAAATTGTATGGTTGCTTATGGCTTCTTAGTGGCTCAATGGAGTCGCAAGGGCTCTCTCAAGCTTCATGAGAATTGGGTTTGGGGATACTACTTAGAGGTTCATGGGTAGTTATAAGTGGGGTTATAAGTAGGGTGACTATACTTATAACCCATATTAGGGGACTTATAAACCTACTTATAACTACCCATGAACCTCCAAGTATGATGGTGACGAAAAGCCAATAACACACAGCAAAGATCCCGGACACGCCCGAAACCCTACACCCTCAGCTCTGAACCCTAAACCCCCGACCCGAAAGCGCCGAAACTCTCCCGCTTTATGAGCCGAGACCTCAGGGCCCGGACCCTAAAGCCCGACCCGGGTTCAGGGTTCAGGGTTCAGGGTTTAGGGTTTAGGGTTTAGGGTTTAGGGTTTAGGGTTTAGGGTTTAGGGTTTAGGGTTTAGGGGTTTAGGGGGTAGGGCTTGGGGTTAGCCTGAACCCTTAAAACTTCAAAACCTGTACCCGGCACCCTCAGAAAGACGGCTAGATCTTGAACTCTCATGCACATTTCTGAAAAGCCGGACCTGAACAGAAGCATAAGACGCCAGACCCTAACATCCGAAAAAAAAACACAGGAGTGCCACGAAAGCCCTAAAGTTCAGAAAAAAAACTGGTCTCTTGTTACAGGATTTAATTTACCATAATACGGATCTATGGTAAATAATACAGCTTCCTTATTATTATGGTAGCTGAAGTTAAATCCCTTAGCAAGAACCCAGAAAAGGCAGCTCCAAACCCTGCACGTTTGCTCCTACTCTGAAAACACTGCACGTTTGCTCCTACTCTGAAACTCTAAACACCTAAACCCTCAATCCTAAACTCACAATGCTGACATGAAACCGTGCAGGCTACAGAGGCTTCAAAACCCCTTAATCCAAGAAAATGCACTCAGTCGTATCACGGATCCCCCTTCGATTGAAAGTATCGTGAACTCCATGAAATCTTTAGAAAACAAGTCCTTCAACAAATATGCTCCACTCATTACAAGAAAGTTTGGTGTTTTTCGGCGGCCTCTTTGGGGCGCAGCTTCTCGGAAGGCAGCGCAGCGGTCTTCAGGGCTCGGGAGAAGGGGGGAGGGGAGGCCCATTCAGATTGCACGCCGGCTCTTCTTCCAAACCTAAGAGCCAACAGCAGTCGCTTTCTCATCCCTTCCACAGCTCGGCCTATGAAATTGGGTGTTTTTGGGCCGACGTCAGCTCTGCACCATCAATTCGATGACATGTGACAAGTAATCATGGAGCTGGTGGCAACGATCAGGGTAAGGGCAACGGCACCTGCAACCTAAACCTAGGTAGGGCTTTAGGGTTTGAGGGAAGCCCCCCCCCCCCCCTTGAAGCTCAAACTTCAGCCCAAAGGAACCCGGAGACTGAGAAGCCACAAAGTCGCGACACCCCCTTAAACCCGACAAAGGGTTTAGGGTTTAGGGTTTAGGGTTTAGGGTTTAGGGTTTAGGGTTTAGGGTTTAGGGTGCTCAACTAGCGCGCTGAGGGCCCGCAAGAAGCAGTATACAACTACACGCAGGTCATAGCTGTTTCAGCTGTTGGGGGTGCAGTTCCGTGCCGGAACTGTGGGATGTACCCCTGAACCCTTAACCTTAAGGCTCTAAACCCTAAACCCTCAACCGTAACTAAACCTTCAACCCTCATTTACCCTAAAACCCTGTATTCCTAAGTTGGCCTTCGCTTGCCGAATCCACACCTGCCAGTCGTGGGTCGCGTGGCTTTCGAGGCTTTGCAGCTTGCTTCAGGGGTTTATCGTCTCAGGGGTACGCATCCGGGATTTTTTAGATGGGGGGATTTAGGATTTAGGGTTTAGG